TTTTACTACGGTAGTACGAGAGTGGTGCCGAAATTTTGCTGCGGCGGCACAGGCTTTTACTACGGTAGTACGAGAGTGCTGCCGAAATTTTGCTGAGGCGGCACAGGCTTTTACTACGGTAGTACGAGAGTGCTGCCGAAATTTTGTTGAGGCGGTACAGGCTTTTACTACAATTGTACGAGAGTGATGCCGAAATTTTGTTGCGGCGGCACAGGCTTTTACTACGGTAGTACGAGAGTGCTGCTGAAATTTTGTTGTGGCGGCACAGGCTTTCACTACGGTAGTACAAGAGTGCTGCCGAAATTTTGTTGCGGCGGCACAGACTTTTACTACGGTAGTACGAGAGTGCTGCGACACAGGCTTTTACTACGGTAGTACGAGAGCTGCCGAAATTTGGTTGCGGCGGCACAGACTTTTACTACGGTAGGACGAAAGTATTGCTGTTTTTTTTGCGGCAGCAGGCCTGGTTTTTCAGTAGTGGTACGGAGCATCGGGTTTTCTACGACGACAGTTTCGGGTTTTCGGCAGTGGTGCAGTAGCGCTGTCGGAATCTTTCGACGGTGACTCCGGTTTAACCAGCTGTGGTGCGGAAGCGCTGCCGGTTTTTTGCGGCGGCAGGCCTGATTTTTSAGTGGTGGTACGGAAGCGCTRCCATTTTTTTTGCGGCGGCAGGCCTGGTTTTTCAGTAGTGGTACGGAAGYGCCACCGGGTTTTCTACGGCGGCGGTTCCGGGTTTTCGGCAGTGGTGCGGTAGCGCTGTCGGAATCTTTCGACGGTGAYWCCGGTTTAACCAGCCGTGGTGCGGGAGTGCTGCGAAAATCTTACGGCGGCGAYGCAGGGTGTCGCGACAAGCGATCGTTCTAAGGAGTGGKGTGGATTGTTTTGCGGGCGACTCATTGTRACAATCGTCTTCTTTGGAGTGTGATTTACWCGGTYTTCCTGAGTGGGCCGTTTCTTCAATTTCACTCAAGGTCAGTTAGTTAAATTGACTCAGTTCCCTTCACACCYGMGTGAACSCACACTTGCTTTGACCTGTTTTACTGAATGTTCATTGAAAAGGRAAAGAGAWTGTGTGCGTYTGCGTGTATGACAGGGAGTCTGACAATAGAAAAGGATTGCATGGTGGTCTGTGTGTCGTTGGGTTTTGACTGYAGGTACGACAAATGGACTGAAATGGATAAGGGTGATGACGGTGAAAGAATGGTTGACTTTTCTGTGTGCTTATGTTCTATTTTTAAATAAAAGAAAGAGAAGACGACGAGAAACGAAGCGAGCATAAGGAAGACAAAATTCAACTTGGTTTAGACTTATTCCTGAGGTTACCCATGCTTTCCCGAATAACCCTCTTCCATCTATGCCTGTCAGTCTGAATGATTCTATCTTTCTACGATTCCTCTTTCTTCGTCTAAGTTTACTTYGACGCTAGGCGGCAAGACTCTACTTGTCTCCCGTGTAGGTGTTTTCCCTTTTTCARGGAGGTATCTGGGGCGGGGGTTCGTTGCCTTAGGGGCCGGCCCTGTTATCGACTCAGAGTGGACCGCTTTGCGGGGGGGTACTATGCCGATTCGGTGGAGACGGCCCGACTTCTAAGATCCGAGTTTTGTACTCGGGCGAGTAGAAGGAGTATCCCAAACCACCTCTTAGGGTAATGGAAAAGGCATCCACACGGAAGAAAATTATTTTCTTGACGCCTTGCGAAAAAGGAAAACTGCCTTAGCAATCCTGTTTAAGTGGTCACCCTAGGTACCACTAACGTATAGAGAGTTGGCACCACAAGCAGCCCGACTCATGTTTCACTAGCTGAACGGAGTACATTTAGATACTCCTGACGAGGTTGGTCTTGCCATAAGAAGCACGAGCCAGAAGGAAGACAAATGTTTTAAGTAATACTTAGTTTCAACTTAATCACATTCGGCTTCCTTTTTCTTTCAGATGGCTATGGGAACCACGGAACTATTCCTTTTGAACAATCGTGATGCGGCAGCGGAGAGAGTTGAACTCCAAAGGCGTGATGGAGTGAGAGTAGAAAGKGTAGGTAGACTTATTTATAATCCGTTAGAATTATATTCTGAGGAGGACGTTCCGCGATTTTGGGGYGGTAATGCGCAAAGACCCCCAGACGACTTGTTTTCAGGAGTGATAACGGCCTGGATATTCTTCAKTACGAGTTCGCACCGCCGTTGTCTGAGCGTCACTTCGTCAATATGAACCTGGTGGTGTTGCARCCCTATGAGATCAACACACGAGTGGACGAAATCCCTGAAATAAGGTTGATGTACGTTCGTTACGTGCTTTGGCTGAACGAGCGACAAGGCCCATTTTCTGGCATATACTACGCGGAGCGGATACGTGCCAATAGGTACGCAATAATAGGGGCTGATGCATTATATGACGATGAATTGGAAAATGAAGCGGAAGAACTCGAGGAGTTTTTACGTAACTGATTTGAATTCGTTYTGATACGTAGATGCCTGGAGCACGACGAGACTTGACGATCCCAAGGTATTTGCTGGTTCGTGATACACACGAGGAGGATCTCATCAGGAGTGCGGCACGACTTTAATGAGTACAGGATGGATCTTCTATCGATTAGCTCGGCTTCATCGGACTGCTTCAAAATGGCGAGGGATTTTTCCCTACTACTCGCGCAGATTTYCGAGCCGCTCCCGACGAGCTTTACGGATATACTTTGTATTTYCACCGCRCGAGTAACCTCCAATGCCTCTCTCGAGTCATTGTGAGTATCAAGATTACCTCGTCCGGTAGGCGTTTCGGCGTCGTYYGGATCCGGGACACAGAGACTCGACATYTGTTTGGACTTAGTCGACCTCTCCGAGTTATAGTTTGRAGAYTAGCCTCTCGGATGACCTCCTTCTATAATAYTCGGATTGTTAGAGTCATGCGATGTRGACGAAGGTCTACTTTGATTTTCGACGGCGACGAGCYGRCACGTTTGGATWTATTGGAGACAYAGGTGCRCGGCGGGCGAAATATTTAYCAGGATTAGACATCGTCTTCTGAAATCTTACTCAKATTTCAGAAAACACTTCGCATGGCCTCAGTCCCGTTGAGGAAACCATATAACTTATGGTTTCACGAGGTAATCTAAAAACAAAAACAAAACACTTTATGTAGTTAGGACCGCCGGATGGATAGTATTCGGATTACCCCGATGATTTCACTATCATRCTTATGCATTGAGCGGTAATCGTTCGCATAAAAATAAGTTGGATAWAGTGAAWAGCGAACRTMTGAAAAGGTGGTCAAGCAAAGCAGCGGAAGATGAAATATTTCTGCGTTGCGTGACTTRGCRTTAGAGATGGATACTCCATCATTCGTGGAACAGAAAGAGTAATTATTGTACAGGAGGGCAAAGCGACCAACAAGGTTGTTWCTCGCTCCTCCAAAATAATTTAATATGGTACGGAAGCACGGTCGAACCGGGAGTTCAAACATCGACCAGAAACCAGATCACTTGTTGATCTGCATGGTGTCAGTAATATTTATTTACAAAAGCTATTCATGACAAGTTTCCGTAGTCATGATAAGAAAATCATTCTTAGTTTATTTCTTTAAATTTGGAACGACAATATAAAAGTTCTTTCAGTCATACAGGTTGAAAGATAGACACTTTGGCAGAC